GCAGCGAGAGCCGGGCTGTGTAGCAAGGGGAGTTTTCTGGGGGCGGGGGGTGTGCAGGGGCGATGGAATTTCCGCTCCCTAAAAGTGGGGGGGGGGGCCACCAGCACCGCAACGTGGCCGCCCCCCTTCCTCCGAGCCCCTCCCTCACGCTTCACCTTCAGCTGCAGGCTCTGCCCTCGCTCCGCCCATTCCCCCTAACCCCCGCCCCCACTTGCCCCTTCCCCCCATGCCCCGCCCCCGCACCGCCCCCCCCCTGCCCCCCCTCCCCCGCTCCCACGTTGCCCCTCCCCCTAAGCCCCGCCCATTCATCCAAGGCCCCGCCCTCACATCGCCCCTTCTTCCGAGTTCCCCCCCTTGCGCTTCACTTTCTCCCCGATCCCCCACCTCTTCCCCCAAATCCCCGTCCCCGCACCGTCCCTTCCCCCAAGGCTCTGCTCCCACACCAGCCCTTCCCCCAATCCCCCGCCCTCACTTGCCCCTTCCCCCCAATCCCTGCTCCCGCATTGCCCCTCCCCTGCCCCACCTCTTCCTCCTCGCACCAGCCCTTCTCCCCGAGGCCCCGCCCTCACGCTTCCCCTTCTACCCGAGCTCCCACCCTTGCACTGCCCCTTCTCCCAGTCCCGTCCCTGCATCACCCCTTCTCCCTGAGCTTCCACCCATGCACTGCCCATCACTGCATCACCCCTTCCCTCAAGGCCCCACCCCCGCCCTTCCCCCGCGACTCCACCCCCGCGCCGCCTCTTCCCCTATGACACACTGCCCATTCCCCCGATTCCCCGCCCCCGCACTGCCCCTTCCCTCTAATCCCCACACCTGCACCGCCCCTTTCCCTGATGCCCCGCCCTTGCCCCGCCCCTTCATCTGAGGCCCCACTCCTGCACCACCCAGTGACCCAGGAGCAGGCCAGACCGGGGAGGCAGGAGGTCAGAAACCTCCTTAAGAAAAAGAATCCGGTCCCAGCCCCCCTGCTCTGCCCCAGACTTCCCGGGTGCCCTCGGGCACATCACTCAGTCTCTCTGGGCCATTCTCCTGGCTGGGAAATGGGGCTGGCGGTGCTTCCCGCCCTCGCACGAGCCTGGGAGGGGAACTACCCTGTGGATTAGGAAGATGCTCAGATACTGGGGTGATGGGGGAGGGGCGCAGGGGGAGCATATTAGCACCATCGTTTGGTATATGGAGTCTGTTTGGAAACAAAATATTTCCCTAAAGTCATGCCCAAAACCTGTATTCAGCGGTAACCTTGGGAAATATTTAACAGAGCAGCGCGTTTTTTCCCGTGTAGCCAGCCCCCGACCCGGCACCAGCCCCCAGTTCTGCCCCCTTCCTATCACTACAGCCCCATCTCACCTCCTGACCCTGGCTGGGTGCCCCTGGGCCCCTCATAGCAGGGGGCTGTCCAGGAGGGTCTCCTTGCATCCATAAGGGGGCGTCTGGTGGGTGCTGTCACCTCTGCCAGAGACCCCCAAGAAACCAACTGGCTTCCTCCGCATGTGGGGAGGGGCTCCTACTTTCTGATTTGGGCTGGTGGGGGGGAAGTTTCCGTGATGTCAGAGCCCCGGGGGGTGTGTGTGTCAAATCATGACTCTGAAGTGGCAGGGCAACCTCCCCCCCACCCCCCAACCCCACTCAGATTCTGCTAGGGGGCTGGGCTGGGATCTCTAGGGAGGGAGACACAGGAAAAAACAGCTGCCATTATGGAACCCAGGAGTCCTGGCTCCCAGTCCCCCTGCTCTAACCTCTAGACCCACCTCCGCTCCCAGAGCCAGGGATAGAACCCAGGGGTCCTGGTGCCCAGCCCCCACCCTAATGGCTTCAGGAAGAGTTTTCCATATTAATTTGTCACAATCCTGCATCAGTAATAACTCCCTCTTTATAATTTTCTCGTACCGATCTTCTCAAAATACTCAGGACAGTATACTACCTTTGTTAAAATGGGCCTTCTCCCGAAAAAGTGTTATCTGCAGTGATCGATAATGAGCGTTCTTTATTATTATTTTCACGAACCGCACTCTTCCAAATGATCAGGAGAGATCCCTAATGACTTCAAGATGAAAACTCCGTGAGAAAATCGTCACAAGTCACTTCTGCAGCAGAACTACACCCAGTCCTTTCCCGAGGTATCCATGCCTGATGCGATTTCAGGACGGGGGCATCCGTTATCATTTGTTTTTCTGTTCTGTGATGGTCTCTGTATCTCTGTTGGCTCTCTCTGGGTGCTGTGACTGCTGGCTCAGATCAGATCACCTGTTCCTCTTGTGTGGTCCTTGTATGACCTGGGTGCCACTGCACCCATCACAGTTTTGGTAGTCCACTCCAGGTGTCTCCCTACTGGCTGGACGCTCACAGCAGTGCCTGCCTCCAGGGCTGCTAGATCCTTGTCTGACCTGTTGTACTCTAGTGCCTGCTTTCTCTGATGGCCATCTTTCTTCAGTATCCCCATCCTTCTGGCACCAACATTGGTCTCCCCTCATTGATAGCAGAGTTTTGGGCCTTTGTTCCATCAGTGCCTGGACTGGATTGAACTGTTTGGCACCGCTGTGATGTGGTACTCCTGTATGCCAAAAATGCTAACTAGGGTCTGAACCAGAAGAAACAGCCCATTCACCTTACCATCACTCTGTGGGTGTGTGGTGGGCAAACTCCCATTTACATGCCAATTTCTTGAATTCTTCTGAAGCAAATTGGGTCAGCTGTCAATGAATACAGTATCCAGAAAGCCATATCTCACAAAGTAGCCCCTCAGTTTGCCAGTCAGTTTGTTTCTTGTATCAAGCATTGCATCAGGGCATTGAGCTCAGAAAAATATTTACAGTTTTCACTGTAATCAAGTACTGGAGTGGAAGGTAAGTCTGTGCCCACCTTTTCCCATGGTTGGGTGGGCAGCTCATGTGGTGACAGTCTTTCTGCTGGCGGTTATCACATAACAGGCCTGTCACCCCTTCTCTCCAGGAGCGGAATTATGTATTCATTCCCAGCCAGTAAACTCACCCTTGAGCCTATCTAAAAAGCTGTCAGTGCCCATGTGTGAGGTAGGTAGTTTTTGCATGACATCCTTATGACAGGAGGCAGGGACAACAGCTCCTCAAAATATGGTTCCATCCTGCATGCTCAGGTCATCTTTAATTTGGAAATGGGGTTTTATGCCTATGAGTGCTTGGCTTTTGTCTTCTTCCCACGCTGCTAGGATCGCTCTCTGGACTGCCAGTAGCCAGGTGGCCTTTTCTGTAGCGTCTTTGATTTCCATCAGCTTCGCTGTTGAAATTGGGAGACAGCAGCATGTTAATGGATTCAATGTCCTGAGCCCCTTCCCCCAACTGGCTGATGCAGGGTATATTTGCCCTGCTGTGGGTTTCAGCCAACACCAGTTGTTATCGTGGACAATATCCAGGGCTTAAATTCTCATAGAGTATTTCCAGGAGGGCCCCCTCCACCTCCACCCCTCAAAATGCTATGAAAACTCCAGGGGGGTTGAAAATATTTACTGGAGTTCTGCTCTGGGCAGCTCCGGCTGAAATTAAGCCCTGACGATATCCGCTCTCTACCTGGTAGTGCTGGAGGTGCATCAACATGTGCTGCTATGGTCTTGGAGTGCTAAGAAGGTGCTTTGCCTTGATTGTCTCTCGGGGTTTGTGGTCTATTACTAGGTGGCTGTAGATGCACTGATGGAATTGCTCCACTACAGCACCAAATATCCTCGTCAGAAGCTCATTTTCTAGTTGGGCGCACCCCTGCCCAGTCTCTGTCAGGGCTTTGCTGTCATCACTGACTGGCTGCTCCTGCAAAAGAGCCCCCCCTTCCCCAATGCATCCCACTGAAGTGTCACTGACTCTCCTGGCTGGTGGTGCTTCAGGACAGGAGCATCCTTTATCACTTGTTTTGGCACGTCAAATGCTTGCTGGTGGGGACAGCCAACATCCTGCCTTGTGAGCTAACATCTGGGTTCAGCTCCTGCAGCCAGGTGTGGACATTGTACCATTCCTATGAAGTGCTTGTGACATTGGGCCAGAAAGGGTTAAGCAACTAGCAGGTTAAATTACCAAAATTCAACCTTTAAAGACATATTAGAAAAGTATGTAAATGATAATTACAACCATTCCTTATAATTAGCTAACAAAGCCATGTTAGATAGAGTAGAGCTTTGAAATGCAGACCTGTATTATTAGCGTATTAGAGAAATACAAAGTGTACTTGTTTACTTATACCTTGTTAGATGTTAACCATGTAACCAGATGGTTCCTGTCTCTTACTGTATTCTATTGATTCAGAGATCAAAGGGGAACAGTAAGAGATAGCTGGAACTTGTGTGTAATAATATAATTGTCCTTATTTCTCTTTGAAGTTTGTAGTAAATTATCTATGAACTGCTTAATGGAGAATTTCCTTAGGCTGATGAATGCAACTAATTACCTGGTATACATAGTAAATAGAAGGTTTTACTTCAAAGCCACTATTCTTCACCCAAGGAATACCTGTTGTCAAGAGGCTATTGATAGCCTGCCAGAGATCTATAAAAGAACTCAAGGGCCCTGACCTGTTATCTTAGATCTGCTTAAGCTTGGTCAGGGGAAGCTTGAGTCACAAGACTGAGGTCTCCAGCTCCAGTCTGGATTATCCTGCTAATTCTCATGGAAGAATTAGAACAAACTCTGGATATGGACGGCATATTTTGGACATAACCTGATGAATTGATTCTGAAAGAACTTTTTGCAACTCAGCAGCTCACCATCTCTGCTATGAAACTGACCTAAGAATTTTATTCATATCTGTATGTGTAATGATCTTTTAACCACAATACTCTCTCTCTTCTTTTTTAATAAATCTTAGTTTAGTTAATAAGAATTGGCTGTAAGTGTGTATTTGGGATTGACCGGTGGGTAATGTGCCTGATCCTTTGGGATTGGTAGAACTTTATATATGATGAACAAGATTTTCAGTAATCCTCATCACATTTGATTTGGCTGTCTGGGTGAGAGCCAAAGCTGGATATCTTTAAGGGAGTTGTGTCTTTGGCTTCTGGGTAACCAGTAAGATATTGTAGAAACTGTTTTGTTGTTGCTTGCTTGGTGTATAGAATAACCATCAGTGTTGGGGATTGTGTGCCCCGTTCTCTGCAGTTTGCCCTAATTGAGCAATCTCAGTGTGGCCCTCCCTAGGGCCCTGGTCACAGCGCTGTACCCCTTTCCCACCCCCTGCTCACGCTTAACAGGCACAGACCACCCTGGGACATGGCCTGTTGTGCGTCTTTCCCTCCTATTCCTCTCTTCAGCTTCCCTCTCTCCAACAGCCCCTTGCAGCCTCTGAGCTCTGCTCCCCAAAGCTCCAGGCCTGCCTGCACGGAGGCTCTTTCTATACTGGCTCCTGTGGCGTGCAGCCCACTCACAGAGAGCCGCGCTGCATTGGTCTGGTTTATCCCCAGTGGAGCAAGGCCAGGACAAACCACAGCTGCTGGGGTTTTATAAGAGAAATAAACCAAACAGATTGGAGCCCCACGCTGTAGGCAGTTAGCCACAAGCCTGCCATCACCTGATCATTGCTCATAGGTTGCATCCCTTCCCCCATCTTGTGTCTGTCCATCATTTGTCACTGGAAGCTCTTTGGGGCAGGGGCTGTGTCTGTGCAAGGCCAAGCAAAGTGGGGTCCTAACACTGCCTGGGGCCTTGGGGAGTGACTGCATAGTTAACAGCTTAGGGAATTGTACTGATGATGCCCCAGCCAGGACAGAATATGCTTCTGTCTCCCAGCGCTGTGGCCCCTCCATGGCTAATGAAAATAACCAGTCCTAAAGCCAGTGGCTCTGACTCCAATACAGACAGGAAGCAGTAAGAAGGGGCCACACCTGACATCCTGATATCAGCTGGGCTGCAGATTGGGCTGGGTTGGCGTACTTTCCTCAGGTAGCTGCCAGCTTGTTTCCCAGGATCTAAGCTTCTATCTGAAGGTGGTGAAGAAAACCTTCAAGACATGAGCTAAAGGGTGAAGCGATGTCTGCTGGCATCTGCAGACAGCCTGAAACAATAGAGCTGAGAGTTGTGAACTGTGCCCAGTAATGTCAGTTGACCATTGGCGTGTCTAACGAGAGCTAAAGCCACACACTGAGATCCGGAAGTCTCAGGACCAGTCTCTACAGACAACAACCCCTCTGGGAGTATTGTTACATCAACCTGCTTAACGATTCCATGGCCAATTGCAGCACACAGGGGGGATGAAAACCAGCCCAGGCAGGGCTGCTGTGAATGGCATCCCAGCTGAGCTGCAGGCAGAGTCTGGCATAGCACCAGCACTCTCCTCCCCTGACCCCAGCACCTGAGTGAAAGCTGCTGAGGCCACCAGCTGCCCTCCGGCCCCCAAGTGTCCAGTCTGGCAGAAGGTAGGTGGTAGTGAGCCATCCGCCTTGAAGAACATCTGACGCTGAAAGTGGTGCCTACATCCAGCTGTTACATCTTGGCTGAACCTTCCACTGGTGAAAACTGCCATAACTTTGCTACCTTCCATGGAGTGAGGCCAATTTGCACCAGCTGGCCCCTTGTCATTACACCATACGCTGCTAGGGCCACCACCACCTTTGGGTACATCTACAGTACGAAATTATTTCAAAATTATTCTATTCGAATTTTCGGAAGCAATTTTATACATTTGGTCTTTTGTGTCCCCACTAAAGTGTGTGAATTCGGCGGAGTGCGTCCACAGTACCGAGGCTAGCATCGAATGTCGGAGCGGTGCACTATGGGTAACTATCCCACATTTCCCGCAGTCCCATCCGCCCATTGGAATTCTGGGTTAAGCTCCCAGTGCATGACGGGGCAAAAACATTCTCGCAGGTGCTTCTGGGTGTGTGTCGTCAGTCGCTCCTCCCTCTGTGAAAGCTATGGCAATCGTTTCGCGCCTTTTTGGTGTACAGACGCCATACTGCTTTCAGCAGACAGTGCACCGCTTCTCTCCTGGTACTATGAATCCACCTCGCATTTCCTCTCGTCTTTCTATGTAATCTCTATAAGTATCTACTTTTTCTCTTCCTCATCGACCGCTTCCGCTGCCAACTCTACTCGGCCATCGTGAACCGAGCAGCACAGCTTCCGCCGCCAACTCTATAGATAAGATTGATAACAGCACATCTCTTCACTCTCGCATGCTCAAACCCTCTCACACACATGCTTGTGTGTTGGTGGGCAGCCGCTGTATTTTCAACAGTGATGATCTGTTATCACTTACACTGCAGAGGTGGGAACGCTGCAGCATCTTTAGCTGGACACCAAAACTTTTAGCATACTATTGTGATAATAATGCCAATCTTTAGACCAGGGTTAAAAAAACTCAGCAGATTAAATTATTTTTCTGGCAACTGGCAAATCCATAAAAAAAATCTAGGCCGGTCAAATACCAGCCAGGTGGTAACCCTACCCCAGGTTGACAAAATGTCTTATGGAAATACCAATTTGGGGAAACCAAACCTTTTGTTGGGAAGGATTCTCAGGTCTAGGATGGAATTTCTGGTCAAACCCAGACAGACTCCAGCATAAGCCCTCAGTCAGGCTGATGATTTCAGCTATTTAAATCTGAAATTTCACAGTGTTGTAATTGTAGGGGTCCTAACCCAAAAAGGAGTTGAATCATAGAATACCAAGGTTGGAAGGGACCTCAGGAGGTCATCTAGTCCAACCCCCTGCTCAAAGCAGGACTACTCCTCAGATTTTTGCCCCAGATCCCTAAATGGCCCCCTCAAAGATTGAACTCACATCCCTGGGTTTAGCAGGCCAATGCTCAAATCACTGAGCTATCCCTCCCCCCTGTGGGGGGTCACAAAGTTATTGTAGGGGGGATTGTGGTATTGCTATCCTTACTTCTGAGCTGCTGATGGCGGCAGCGGTGGCGCCTTCATTGCTGATGTCATAACTATAAAGGGAAGGGTAACAGCCCTCCTGTGTACAATACTATAAAATCCCTCCTGGCCAGAGACTCCAAAATCCCTTTACCTGTAAAGGGTTAAGAAGCTCAGGTAACCTGGCTGACACCTGACCCAAAGGACCAATAAGGGGACAAGATACTTTCAAATCTTGGTGGGGGGAAGGCTTTTGTTTGTGCTCTTTGTTTTGGTGGTTGTTCACTCTTGGAACTGAGAGGGACCAGACATCCATCCATGCTCTCCAAATCTTTCTGAACAAGTCTCTCATATTTCAAACTTGTAAGTAAACAGCCAGGCAAGGCGTGTTAGTTTTATCTTTGTTTTCTCAACTTGTAAATGTACCTTTTACTAGGGTGTTTACCTCTGTTTGCTGTAACTTTGAACCTAGGGCTAGAGGGGGTTCCTCTGGGCTCTTTAAGTTTGATTACCCTGTAAAGTTATTTTCCATCCTGATTTTACAGAGATGATTTTTACCTTTTTCTTTAATTAAAAGCCTTCTTTTTAAGAACCTGATTGATTTTTCCTTGTTTTTAGATCCAAGGGGGTTGGATCTTGATCCACCAGGAGTTGGTGGGAGAAAGGAGGGGGGATGGGTAATTTCTCCTTGTTTTAAGATCCAAGGGGTTTGGATCTGTATTCACCAGGGAATTGGTGAAGAGTCTCTCAAGGCTACCCAGGGAAGGGAATTAGCACATTGGGAGTGGTGACAGCGGACCAGATCTAAGCTGGTAGTTAAGCTTAGAAGTTTTCATGCAGGCCCACACATCTGTACCCTAAAGTTCAGAGTGGGGAAGGAGCCTTGACAGCTGAGCATCTGGAGAGTGGTGGCTGCTGGTCGGGAACCCAGCTCTGAAAGCAGAGCTGCCGCCAGCAGCAGTGCAGAAGTAAGGATGGCATGGTATGGTATAGCCACTCTTACTTCTGTGCTGCTGCCTGCAGAGCTGGGCTGTCAGTCAGCAGTCGCCACTCTCCAGCCACCCAACTTTGAAGGCAGCAGCACAGAAGTAAGTGTGGCCTGGTATGGTATTGCTACCCTTACTTCTGCGCTGCTGCTGGCGGGGCGCTGCCTTTAGAGCTGGATGCCTGGCCAACAGCCACTGCTCTCCGGCCGCCCAGCTCTGAAGGCAGTACAGAAGTAAGGGTCGCAATACTGCTACCCCCCACAAAATAACCTTGCAACACCCCCGCAACTCCCTTTTGGGTCAGGACCCCCCACTTTGAGAAATGCTGGTCTCCCTTGTGAAATCTGTATAGAATAGGGTAAAAGCACAGAAAACACCAGATTTCATGGGGGAGAGACCAGATTTCATGGTCCGTGACGTGTTTTTCACGGCCACGAATTTGGTAAGGCCCGATGTATAGCGCAGCCCCAGTGGGGACTCTGACCACTGCGCTGCAGTGTCAAACCTCTTTGCCTCTGGCCCAATGGCTCCATGTTATTTATACCAAGAAGAACAGCTCCAAGAGGAAAGAACGAGAGACTGACACTATACCTGTTGCTCAGAACTCTCCCACAATCAGACAGAGCAATGTCTCCCGTCCCCCAGGCATGGGCTCTGACCACAGAGCTATTGTCCAGCCCAGTAGAGCGCTTTCTCTTTCAAATTTTTTGTGAAACATTTGGCAAGGCCTTATTTTTGCTCCCATGTGGAATGCAAACCCGGTCAGAACCCTGCAGTTTTCCCTCAGCACCCTTGTTTTCCGGCCAGCCCTCGTTGCAATGTTGTTAAAGCTGCAGCTATGCCTGGCAGACAGCCGGGAATCGGGCGCAGTCTCCTCTCGGAATGAGACACTGGAGGAGCTGCAAGGGCAAGCCCAGGAACAACTGATCTCCAACGCCCGCTACTCACCATTCCCAATCACCCATCTATCCCCTTCGCAGTCTCCAAACCCCAGGACCCAGATCCCTCCCATCCCCTTCTCGACGCCCCCATGAGCAACCCTCCCGCTCCTTTCTATTTCCCATGCCCGTATGACCGATCACCTCAACACACCACTCCTTCTCCGGCCCAACCCCCCCGGGTCCTCCGCCTCAGTCATGGACTCCAAAGGTCAATCGCCCTGGGTCCAGACCCTTCCGTACGACCCCCTTGCTCACAGCCAATTATCACTGCCCAAAGGAATGGCCACCCTACCTGGATCCCTGGGGCAGCTTGTGGGCAGGACCGGGCCTGGCACTCAGGAGAGCAACGCTGGCTTCCTGCCTCTGCAACATGCTCCCAGCGTGACCGTGGGCTCCCCAAGTGGCCAAAGGGGTGATGATCCCTGCTATGTGTGCAGGCCGGGAGACTGTCTATGTCACACCCCAGCCAGCAGGGTCCAGAGACTGGCTGGGGTCTCTAGGCACTAGCTCACTACTAACCATTGGTCAGTCCCTGTGCTCAGGAGCGGGGTGCCCAGGCCTTGCTGGGCCTGCAGCCCCCTAGCTGAGTCCTCCCCCTGTGCGGTGTGGGGCGGAGATAGGAACTGCCCCAGCCCCCTCAGGGTTTGTTCTCCCTGACCCTGGCAACCCAGGGCCAGGCTCTCTGGCTCTTGACCCATTTGCAGAGCAGGCTGAAGGGGAGGGGATGTACCCACTCCCAAATTGCACGTCCTTAAAATAAAAGCCAGTGATGTCACCTCCCTCCATCCCCAAACCACCCCATGCCCCGTGCTCTGCACCTGCCTAGCGACAACCAAGCCCATCACAGGACAGAGCCCAGCTTGGTGCCAGGGGCCAAAGGGGCTGGATTTGGTTCCCAGTTCCCATGCACTGGCCAAGCACCAAGGCAGGGGATGCCCCGTGCTGGCATCACAGCAGCTCCACTCCATTTTCTGAGGAGGCAGAAGGGCACATGGGAGAGCTCAGTGTTCCACTGGCCCTGCCCACACCACGCCCGCTCTGCCCGCTGCGGTCCCAGCCTTTCCGACCATCACAGCTAGTCACAGAGCAGGTCTCGCTCACTGCTCACCTTCACAGTCACCACTAGGGGTCTCCATCTCCTCAGGGCCCTGGGGATCCGGGACAAGCGCCTCAGCCCCTCCTTCCAGCCAGAAGACAGCATCTGGGCCATGGGTGGAAAATCCTGTTTGAGGAAAGAGAGCAGGGGAACTCACAACGTGCCACTGAGAGCTGGTCCCACAGCTGGACACACCCCACAGGGCAGGGCAAGCGGCAGCCCCACAGGGCAGGACAGGAAATTTCCCACAGGGCAAGGCAGGAAATTCCCCACTGGGCAGGGCAGACCCCGCAGGATGGGACAGCCCCTGCTGGGCAGGGCAGACCCCACAGGGCAGGGCAGGCCCCACAGGGCAGGATGGTGCACCGCAGTCCATAACTCCAGCTGTGCCAGGAACATCGTCACCCAGCCCCAGTGCCAGAGCCGGCTTCCTCCCTTCTCCAGGGACAGGACGAGGACTCAGGTTCCTCCCTCCCACAACATCGCAGACAGAACAGGGATTGTGACTCCTCACCCAGTGCGTCGTGAACTGCCGGCGTGGCGTTCCTCTGCTTGTCCTCCTTCCCGGGCATCTCCTCAGAGGTACACACGACCTCCGCCTTCAAGGTCACTGGGGCCTGGAACAACACGCAACCCTCACTCAGCACCCGCTGCTCCCGGGACCATCCCCTGCCCGCCGCCTCCAGGGACCATCTCCTGCCCTGCAGCTGGTCTGGCAGGACCATCCCCCACTCAGCATCCGGTGCCCCGGGACAATTCCCTCCCTGGTTTGTCTTTGCCTCCCTGCCTACATTCCCCCCCAGACCAGGATACCTGGGACGGCCACCCAGGCTCCTGGGGAATAAGCTGGAAATCCTCTGCCAGGGCCACGGCCTCCTGGCCACTCTCCAGGCCATGCTCCCGCACCCAGCTCTGCATTTCCTCAGGCAGGAGGCTCAGGAACTGTTCAAGAACCAGCAGCTCCAGCACCTGCTCCTTGGTGCGGGTCTCTGGCTGCAGCCAGCGATGGGAAAGTTCCCACAGGTGGCCGTAAACCTCCCGTGGCCCCTCTGCCTCCCGGTAGCGGAAGCCCCTGAAGCGCTGGCGCTGCGTCTCCATGTCGTGGCGGCGCAGGACAGTTCCCTTCACCTTGGCACCGTCACCAGCCTCCCTGGCCTCCAGGCTGGCGTGGGACTGTTGGTCTTCCCCACCGAGGGGGTGTGTGTCTCGGGCTCCCCCCAGCGCCCTGGGCTCCTGGCAGGTGTCAGTCACTCGTTTGGTGGTGGCGAGATCGGGCTCAGTCTCCCCCCCTTCCCCATCTCCCCGTGGGGCTGTGGGGGGCAGGGGGCCCGGCCCCATGAAGCTCTGGCTTCTCCTGCAAACATAGCTGATTCACCATCTGTTGCAATCCCTGACACCTGCTGAGTTCATCATTCACCCAGGCCTGCCTCGAGGGAGGGTGGTTCCCCACTGACTCTGGCTCCTCCCTCAGGGCAGGCCTGGTTGGCTGGTCTTGCTCCTCCATCTTCACCTGCTCGGGCAGAGATGCTCCCTGCTCTGTGCCCATCTTCTATCCTGGGCTTGGCTGGAAATCCAGCCCTGGCCCGTGCTCCAGCTCCCTCGGCCCTGTACGGCGGATGATGTCCAGCTCCGCTCCTGAACCTCCGTCCCTAGCACTGACGGGTGTGAGAGGCTGTGGCAGGGGGTCTCCATGCCACGCCACTCTGGCAGACGGCCTGCAGACAAACCAGTCCACAATTTTTTTTGCAGCCAGGCTGAGGTAAGCCCCTCACCCCAAGTGCCAGGCCCTTCCCAAAGCCAGAGGGGGAGACAGCCCCTGCCCTGGGGGGTACCAGAAGAAAGGCAAAGGATAGTATTTGTGGGATAGGGGTGACGTGATAATCAGCATGCACCATGCCCATTCCAAGCAGATCTTTCTCAAGGCACTGGAGGTTTGAGCTAGCGGGCCGAGGAAGGAGGGTGGTGGCTGGTTCTCCACAGAGGGAGCAAAGGGACGTTCACCAGGCTGCGGGAGCAGAGACTGTATGGTCAAGGCAATGGAGTGGGAGTTCAGGGCTGGACAGGGCAGCGACAGTGGGGGTGTCTGGTGTGGAGGGAGAGGTGGGACAGGGAGCCCACGGAGGCTCCCATCAACAAGCGGGCAGGGGGCCCCTACGATGCATCAACCCCGCCTCCCCCTAGGGCCAGCGTTTCCCGAAAGGGAAGGACGCCTTTGAACCCCAGGAACCAGGCTTGGCTGAGTCAGGCGGGCGGAGCGCCAGCCAGAGCCAGCCGCCGGGGGCAGAGCGCGCAACCCTGGCACATCCCACAGCACCCGGGGCCCAGGGCTGCCCTGCGGGGGCCAGGTTTGGCACACGGCTCCTTGGCCCAGCTGCCCCTGCAGGGGGCAAGTCCCGTCGCGCTGCGGCGGAGCTCCTGGAGAGATGCGCGCCAGAACCCCGCCAGCCCCTGCCCAGCCACTGCGCTCCAGCCCCGGTCTGGCCCCGGAGCGCAGCTGGGCACGACGGAGGGGTGGCTGGAGGACGCTGCCCTTCCGTGGGAGCCTACAGCCACTCACCGCGACCCGCGAGCGGCCGGCGCGGAGCGCAGCCAGCCCGGCCCGGGGCGCACGGACAAGCCGGGGGAAGCTGCGCCTGCAGTGCGAGCCCTCCCCTCCCCTCCGGGAGCCCTTCCCCTGCAGAGGGCGCCGGGAAATGTAGTTCGCCGGACTCACATGGGAGCCGGGCGAGGGCTGGAGGGGACTCCCGTCCCCTGCCTTCCCTTGTCCGGGGGGAGCAGTGGGTGCGTGGCAAGGGGCAGGGTGGAGAGCCCCGGGGCTGGGGAGCCCACACTCGGGGAAGGCAGCAGGAGGCTGGGGGAACTTACCAGAGGGTCGCTAGTGTGTGTGCTGTGCCGCCCGGGGTCCTGTGGGGACTGGTGCTGTATGAATACCTAGGACAGAGGGGTCGGGTCGAGCTATTGATGCGCAGACTGACAAACAGCTACTCAACGAGTTTAGGTCGACTTTAGCCGCGTTAAATCGACTTAAGCCTGGACACGTTTACACTACGAAGCCCTTTCTTTCGACTTAAAGGGCCCTTTAAACCGGTTTCTTAACACCACCTCGACAAGGGGATTAGCGATAAAATCGGCCTTAGGGGGTCGGAATTGGGGTAGTGTGGACGGAATTCGACATTATTGGCCTCCGGGAGCTATCCCACAGTGCTTCATTGTGACCGCTCTGGACAGCACTCTCATCTCAGATGCACTGGCCAGGTAGACAGGAAAAGTCCCGCGAACGTTTGAATTTCATTTCCTGTTTGCTCAGCGTGGAGAGC